GGGGGTGTTTGTTTCTTGGATCTTTTAGATCGTGCAGATTTCACACAATATTCAGATCATGCAGTAAGTTCTTGCAGTAGGCGATAGATTAGGGAAGTATGTTTTCATTGATGAATTGTCATCGTGGAGAATGTTATTGATACGTTTTGAGAAAGAAATGATGATGGTATTTTTCAGTTACACTGAATATAATCTATTCGTGAACAACGTACCAGAGGATATGGACGATGCAGCATTGTTTTTGGTTAGTCTTCTTTTACGTTTATTTTACGCTAATTTCAGTTTGTTTCATTTTCATAGTTTAGTCATTAATCTAAGGAAGTTGAATACAAATAAATGGATACAAATGCCTCCCGTTATGGGAAGTATGTATTAAGATAGTAGTAGTTAGCAGATGATGATGGCAATCGTTTTCGTTTTTGGAGTGGAGGATTTTTTGGTTTCACAGTCATTTCATTCATCAGATTTCCTCTGAATTCATTCAGATATTCGGTGAACGGTATCATTCATGTCGTGGCGCAAAAGTTTATCGCAATTCGGATGGTACCTCAAAAGGACTTGGTTTCGTACGGTTCTCTGATCAGACTGATCAACAACGAGCACTTGTAAGTGAGATGTTTTGATTTTGATTATTTTTTAAAGTGTTCCCTTGAAATTGAACCGAATTGTATGCGTGTTGTAGATTGAAGATTATGACAATTTCAATTAGAAATCTTTTAAAAAGTTTTGTTAGGAATGTTTTTTGGAAGGGCAAAATAGGGATTCAGTGTGAATGTTTTGAAAATTTTAGTTGGAAATGAATAAGTATCGAGTGGATGGGCGACCATTATTGTTGAAGTTGGCACAACCGAAGTACCGTGCCCCGAAGCAGTCAAAACAACCACACATACAACAGCAACAACAGCCATATCCAATGCATCTACCACAACAGATGATGCCACAACATCCACAAATAACTAACTTATATGATCCGTCTTCATCAAACTATTATATGCATCATCAGGTTTGTCATCCTTTCTCAAGATTGTTTAATCGGTTGACATTTGTGTTTGGTTTGAGGATTTTTGCAGTTCAGAAAGGATTTTGTGTTCAATTTTCAGATGGCTCCAACAAATTATTACGATCCAATGTCAGGTGCAGGTGCATATCATCCTCAACCGCAAATGCCGTCTTACATGAACCAACCCTATCCATCCAATCAGAGTCTACAGCAACATCAACAACAGCCACAACAACAACTACAACAATATCCACCATATAGTCCAAGTGTAGATCCTGGTGCACCACAGACGGTTAATTTGCATTGCATAATTTTTTTGAAATTTGGAATGTTTGCAATTCATTTC